CTATGCTTGGCTCCTTCTCTGCCTGCAGCAATGTCACGGGGATTTACTCTGACACCCGTGCCATAGCTTCACTTCTTCATCGATATGGTGCTTTTGCTTGCTTTGATTTTGCTGCCAGGTATCTTTTTGTAACATATGCAATCTGCTAAAATGTATACATATATGTCCGAAGTTATAAATCAAGTGCTAAGTAATTAATTCAATAATTAACTTTTTACTAATTCTCAATGAAATGTTATGTTGGGGCAGTGGTCCTTATGTAGAGCTAGACATGAAGTCGGGAGATATGGATGGGTATGATGCAATATTTCTTAGCCCGCATAAATTTATAGGTGGGCCTGGCACTCCCGGGATTCTTTTGATGAGCAAGATTTTGTATCAGCTCAAATCCTCTGCCCCTTCTACTTGTGGCGGAGGAACTGTCAGTTTTGTTAATGGATTCAGTGAAAAGGTACATGTCAAATTCTAAATTTTTACTGGTACCCCTTCTAATCGTATATCTTTCAGTGGCAATCTCAAGCCATGCCCATGCTCAACGTTGATTATTTTAAGTCTTTTTAACTCGCAACTGATACTAAAATTAAAATTACGCAGGACACACTATACTATGAGGATGTGGAAGAGAGGGAAGATGCGGGTACCCCACCAATTGTGCAGAAAGTCAGAGCAGCAATGGCTTTTTGGGTGAAAGAATTTATAGGCTATGAGGTGATTCAAAAACAAGAACACATGTTCATAGAAACGGCACTGGACAGGCTTCTAGTCAATCCTAACATATGGGTACTAGGAAACACAAATGTACAGCGGCAAGCCATCTTATCCTTCCTTGTCTTCTCCACTACAAATTCTGACTCATATGCCGACATGGACGGTAGCGCCAACAGACAGTTAGCAGGGATGAAGATGTGGAAAGAGTCGGGCAACATGAGAGATAAGCCCTTGCACGGCCTTTTGTTGCAAAACTCCTCAATGACTTATTTGGCATCCAGTCTCGAGGTGGTTGTGCCTGTGCCGGTCCCTACGGTCATCACCTCCTCCATGTCGATGAGCCTCACTCTATTGCATTCAGAGATGCCATCCAGAAGGTAAATATTTATAATAAGCTATCACCACCACCACCACCACCATAAGCTACAATACAATGATTTATATAATGGACTGAGATCTTTGATGGCAATGGCAGGGATACAATGGAGTAAAACCCGGATGGACCAGAATCAATTTTGCTTACCACATGTCCGTCGAGGAGTTTGAGTTCATTCTTGCTGCTCTGGAATTCGTGGCCATGTATGGGCAAAGATTCCTCGTGTTGTATGATTTCAACTGGAAAACCGGGGCTTGGACTATCAGGAAGAAGGCATACAGAGAGATCTTAGGCATCACACAAAGCAAAACTTCATTTAGCATCGCACGTGCTCTCCAGGCAATTACTTTTGAGGATGCTGATGCCAAGAGCAACAATATACGCAGTCTTGATTCCAAGACCATTGAGCTTATTGACAAGTACGTGTCCTACTTGGAGACTGCTAAGAGAATTGCGCACTCCCTTCCGAAGTTCCCACCTCCCCGCAGGGTTCCCAAAGATGTAGATCTTGGCCTTGTCCACTTCCGAGTCTAGCTGCACCCATCTTTACTTTGGCCAAACGATAAATGGGGTGTCACACCCCCCCCCTGTGGCGCCCGCCGCCGCTGGCGCTGTAATACAATCGCTAGTTGTACTTGAGTTAATAATAAATGGGTTATACCCCATCACTGCAATACAACCGCTAGTTGTAGCTTGTAATTTTCGTCATTTTCCAATGAAAATTAGAGTGGGATCATTGGCGCAACTGTTCTAGTGGATTTATATTGTTGAAAGTATATATTACATGTTATTAATTACTTTCCTGCATCTTGTTGGAAATTTGTATGGCTTCTTCAATTTCTTAAAATAATCTTTTTTTCTTGAAGAAATACCTGATTGCACCCATTTATATAAAAACCAAAAAATAGTACGACGAACCCATTCAAAAATAAAGAATTAAGTGTATCTTTATTTCTCCTATCCTTTTAGAAGATGTATGATAATTTTTAATTTTTAAATTTAAATTTTTTTTTTATATATTTTCTTAAAATAATTTCAATTAAAATTTAATACAATTTGGTTAATACTATATATTATGAGTTAACTTAAAAATCAATAATTTGTTTGGCACTCAAATTCAATTTTATCTTGTTCAATTTGTTATTCTTCAATTTTCATTAACTTTCTCTCTCTAAATCTTTTTCAATTTCTCTTCTGAAAAAATTTTCTTTATTTTGTTTTCAAATTTCTCTCTCTATGTTTAATTTTTTTCTAATTTTTTAACTCTTTCTCTGTTTTTTTAATTTTCTCTCTAATTTCTTCAACTTTATCTCTCTAGAATTTTCTCTCTTTATTTTTCAAACTTACTTTATCTAAAATTTTCAAATTTCTCTCTCTAAAATTTTCTCAATAAATTTTTTAAATTTTCTCTCTCTAATTTCGTATTCACTTTCTCTTTGTAATATTTTTATTATAATTGTTAAAATTTTTATCTCTAAAATTATAATTGTTTGAAATCTATCTCTATAAATTTTTTTTTAATTTTCTCTCTCTAAAACTTCATTTCAATATATTATTTTGCTACTTTCTCTCTTTAATAATCTTCAAATTTATCTCTCTAAACTTTTCGCTCTCTAATTTTATTTAACTTTCTCTCTCTAAGATATTCTCATTCTTTTTCTAATTTATTTCTCTTAATACAAATAAAAATTTTTACAATGAATTGTATAACAACTTTTTTTAAATATGCCAGATTATCTATTAAAAAAATAATCATTCAGATAATTAATTAAACTAAGCTAATCATATGATAATTTTCCCTTTATTTTATTCAAAAATTTTGGCGACGGAAGTGGCTTGAGGAAAGGAGTCACATTGTTACAAATTAACAACACAAATTACTTGATTGAAAAAAATAGAACTCTGAGTAGCAGGGCACGTTTTGTACGGTGGACAATAGTAGATAAAAATAGTTTATCCACTCTTATCCTATTTGAATTCATATTTGGTAAATCAAATAAAATAGAATCGGAAAATCCGGGTAGGAGAGAGATTGGATAATAGTAGAACCAAATTCAGATAAACTATATTGGAAGAGGGGTAAGATAATTTTATCTGATTTCTATCCAACCTATTTAAACAATATTATCCCTACTATCACTACTAATTATCACTTTTATTATATTTATTAAATAAAATAATTATCTAAATTAATATATAATTAAAATCCTTTATTCAACTATTTACCCTACCATACTTTATCCAATTGAACCTACCCAACGATCGCAAATTAAGAATAGTAAATAGCGGGGAAACAGTTTCGTAATTTAGCCAAATGTAACGAAGTCCTGAGGCCTTTTAATTCTAAACGCAGCCGCTTCGCTCCCGCCGTCCCATCCGCACCCTGTCAAGACTTCCGCCGTCTGCTTCCGCCGTTGCAACTTGGACAAACCCCGAAGAACACGCTATAATTTCCACCAAAACACCAACTAAGCCCGTCGGATCGCCTCTTTTCTCCCCCAGCAAGCTAGTATGTTCTCTTCCTCCTTCATCCGTCTCTCTATAGATAAGGACGCAGCAAGTATTGCCCTCTGCGTATTGCCCTTTTCCTGCCTTTTTATCATGTTGTTCTCTACCAGTCAATGTTTGCATTGGGAATTTGTTCAAATTTCTGTGATTGTGGTTTCTCTACGATAAAGTTGATTGTATTGAGACTATTGTAATTTATTTTATTCCTACCAGAAAGACCAGCACACCATGTTGGTAGCCCGAATTCTTTCTGCGGCACCCTAGTTATATTTCCTTCTATGGGTACTATTTCGGGAAGCAAGACGACCACATTAACGAGAAACGTACCTGCAAACTTCATCTAAAACCAAGTGTCCTCTATTTGTTTGACGAAATGTCTGACTCAAGAAACACTGCTTTACGCTGAACGGGATTTAGTAGGCATTTTCGGAATCCTTACGTTGCAGTAGCTGTTTGGTTTTGAATATATTTTGATTATTTAGTAGATGAGTGAAACAGGCTCAAAAGAATCTGTTCAGTTTGGGGGTGATACTGGAGAAGGATATTTCAGCAATGGCAAGCAAGGCAATTATCAAATGGCCAAAACAAATCACAACATCTCTTGTTGAGAAGCTGATCCGAGCAGAAAAAGACATACAAAAGGCCCTTCTTGTCTTTGATGCTGCTACAGCAGAGTATAGTAATGGTTTTCGTCACGATCACAGCACCTTTGGTCTCATGAGCTCTAGATTGGTTTCTGCAAATCAGTTCAGAGCAGCTGAGGATTTAGTGGATAGGATGAAGGTTGAAAAATGTAACATTACAGAGGATATATTTCTTTCTATCTGTAGAGGCTATGGTCGTGTTCACAAACCTCTAGAGGTGATTAGGATTTTCCAGAAGATGAAGGAATATGAGTGTGAGCCTACTCAGAAATCCTACATCACAGTCTTTGCTATTCTGGTTGGTGAAAATCAGTTAAAGATGGCTTTAAGGTTCTATAGGTATATGAGAGGGAAGGGTCTTCCTCCAAGCGTTACTTCCCTTAATGTCTTGATTAAGGCCTTGTGCAAGAATAATAGGACCTTGGATGCTGCTTTTCAGATTTTCCGCGAGATGCATAAGCATGGGTGTATTCCAGATTCCTACACATATGGTACTTTGATCAATGGATTCTGTAGATTTGGGAAGATAAGCGAAGCAAAGGAGCTTTTCTCAGAGATGGATGCAAAGGTTGTACACCTACTGTTGTGACGTACTCTTTGTTGATTCATGGCTTGTGCCAGTCAAATGATCTGGATGGAGCTATGAAATTGCTTGAAGAGATGAAGAGCAAAAGTATCAAGCCAACGTGATCACTTACACCTCTCTTATAGATGGACTTTGCAAGAGTGGATGCTGCTTAGGAGCCCTGGAGCTATTGGAAATTATGGCTAGTGAACGCCACAAGCCCAACGTGATCACTTACAGTACTTTAATACATGGACTCTGTAAAGAAGGCAGACTTCGAGAAGCTTTAGAGATTTTCGATAGAATGAAGCTTCAGGGATTGAAACCGGATGCAGGATTATACTGGAAAATCATAAGTGGCTTTTGTAATGTTCAAAAGTTCCAGGAAGCAGCAAATTTCCTTGATGAGATGGTTCTTGAGGGTATCTCACCGAATCGTCTAACATGGAGCCTTCATATTAGAATTCATAATACCGTAATCCAAGGCCTCTTAACAGAAAGTGATCCAAACCGAGCTTTTCAATTATATTTAAGCATGCGCACTAGGAGACTTTCTGTTGAGGCTAAAACTTATAATTATCTGATTACTTATTTCTCTAAGAAAGGTGATCTGCATAAAGCTGCTCGTATCACTGACGAGATGGTGTTTGATGGATGTATCCCTGATGAGGAAATATGGACTGCCTTGGTTAGTGGATTTTGGGATCGAAGAAAGGTGCGTGAAGCTGCTGAGTTTGTACACGTTGAACTAATGGGAAAATCTGTTGAGGCTGGAATGTAGTCTGTTACTGAGTATTGGATTAAGGTGCACAAAACTTCTGTGCAGGACCCGATTTAATTAATTGGCAAAGTTTTGAGGCTGGATATAGTAAATTATTTAACAAGCATTAGTAGCTATTAAGGGTATGACTTTTATGTTGTTGCTTTTGTTTTTGACATCAGAAGCATGCATTCATTCATAAAGCGAGTTCCTTGGCCTGCTTCCGTCCCAATAGAATCTACGGAATGGATTGCATCAGTATTAATTCACCTTATAAGATAAATCTGTACATTTCACATTTGCAGGTTTGTACATACAACTTCATTGAAGAACTAGGCGGTTCAGTTTGATGCATTAAGTCTTGTAGTGGCTCTTAGCATAAGATAAGAAGTCTTAAGTAACTCCCACCCCCACCAGGGAAAGGGGAGAGGCAAAGAGAAACAGAAAGAAGGGATAAATAAAAGAGGTGAGATCTTTAAGTACATGGAGCCTACACTTAGATGAGATTTTTGAAAAATTTGCATGCATAATATTGCATTTTGGTGTTTGCTTGTGGTGTGTCGTCCTTTTTTTCAAATTTTCCTCGTGTTTGTGTGTGTGTGTGTGTGTTTTTTTTGGGGGGGGGGGGGTGGTGGTGGTGGAGGGGAGTTGTTGTTGCTGTTTTATCTGTCATGTTCGGATTGAGAAATGAGCAAAACGCCATATTATGTTTGTCGAATAATTGGTTTCCTAATTTGAAAGGGAATTATTAAGAAAACAATACTACGGATGGGAAATATAGTGGAAAAATGGATATGATGAATTACCGAGAGAAAAAGAACCTTGTTAGGTAGAGACATAGCCTTCTGAGTGAACTTACTGAGAGAAAAAGAAAGCCTCAGTCCAAGATGAATTAGGCATATATTAAGAAGTAGGGGTGTTTATGGTTTAGTTTAGTTCGGGTCGATTTGATATTTAAATTTAAATTAATTATATTTTTAAATATGTAATTTTATAAACTAAATTAAATTACAATTTATGATTTGATTTGATTTTAAATTACAATTTGTGACTTGTAAAATAAAATAGGTTGAATTCACTATTTTTATAAAAATTTTGATAAAGTTTTCTAAATATTGGTTATTAATTTTTTTTTCAAACATGTTTAATTTGACAAATTCATTATCTATCAATTAATTATAATAGTTATACATTATACAATAAAAATATTTATAAAATATTATGAAATTTCAATTATACTAGTAGATATTATATTCTAAAATAAATATTATTATACTAGTGAACTTCTAAAATAATTAATTATTAGAATAAATATAAATATAAAAGATAACAAAAAAAAATGTATGGCTGAATAATAAAAATATATTTTATATATAAAAATAAGATTTTTAGTTATGTATATATATAAATTATATAATTTGATTTAATTTATACAGTTTATATAAATATCAAATATTAAAGTAAATTATATAAAAAATTAATTTTTAAATTAAATTAAACTAAACTACAATTTTGTCAATTTAAACGATTTATTTCGATTTGTTAAATAGCTCCTGTTGAGAAGGTGATATTCTTGAATTAGTGGATTCAGTTTCTACAGTTATGTTCCCTCACTATTAACTATAATTGGTGGGTATAATTAATAGAAAGAACATTCTTCTTTTTGCTGTTTTATTGCAGAATCTTTTGGACTCGACCTACCAAGCATTGGCTTCACTATTCTCGTGGTTATTTTTTGAACTATAATCTGAAAATGAACATCACTTGGCAGGTGGTCCTAAATGAAACTTTCAACGAGATGAGCTCAATACCTTATTTGACTAAAACAATGGTTTAGTTGCAGATTAAGATTATATGACATAACAAATAGCGAAAGGGGAAATTAAGGGAATGGTTCTCAAAGCAGAGCTCTAAAATGAATCAATCACAAGAGGACCTCAGAGCGCATGACACGAGAGAATGTTAGTCAGTTGTGAGAGGGAAGCCAATTCCATGGTGATGGTTAGGGAAGATAACAAACACGACGTTGCAATTGACCCCAAGTCCAGTTGGCAGCGTTCTTAAAGTAATTTGATCTCCTCCCATGACATTGGATAGAAACAGTCCATGACATCGGATAGAAACAGTCCATGACATCCTTATCAAACGGTGCAACAGCTCCAGAAACAAACACTGACATGAACCCATGTAAGAAAAATTTCATTTTGTATTTGCCACCATCTTCAGCTGATAAAGTAGCTGAGCCGTCAACGACCCACAAGCCATGAAATGTGGCAAATCCATAACAAATGTTTCCGTTCTTGTCGTCCTTGATGCTGTCTGTGAAGCTGAGTATGAAACAGAGCATCCCACTGAGAGTGGACAGTATGTCAAGGAGAAATCGCAGACTCCTTGATTTGTTGAAATAGGTGATAGAATTTGGAAAGCAAGGACAGTCCCTGTAGGTAAATGATTAGCTACGTGGGCTGCGCTCTTAAACGTCTGGCTGGAGATTCTATAGAACAGCGTTTTCTTTTGTGTTTCAGGTTAGGATTTGTCTCGCAGAAGGGGAGATTTTTGGTCATCGTGGCTTCTTGTTTGTTCTCCATTGATGGCCATGTCTATTGTACTCTATCCTTCCCTTTAGTCTCCTGCACGGCTTGCTATGGTTGGTGCATTTATGAGTAGCCGAAGGGACGGATAGCGTGGAATAAAGGGAGGGAGATTGCTAATGATGGCTTGAAAGCGACAAAAACCTAACGGTGGAAGAAGTTTTAGCGGCTTTTCTTAGGAGTTCAGGTTCCATGTTTGATGCTGAACGGTGTTTGTAAATTGCTAGCAAGAGTGGCTCCTCTAGCACAACTCATTGCTGTGCTGCTTTCATGTTTGCCAACTGTTATTATGTGTATGTGGAACTTAAACTTTTTTTCCCCTCTTTTTGGTGACAACATGTGGAACTTGTAGAAGTTGATTTCTCTCTTCCTTCGATATTATTCTTAAATCTTTTATGGCCCGAAAAGGCTAGAGGCCCAACCGCAGCGACCCAATCTGTGACCATGAAAGGAAACCAAATAGAAAAGCCCATGTTCTGAGTCCAATCCACATTCCCAACTAGGATTGAGCCCAACATCTTAATCAACAAAACAAATCCCCCCCCCCCCTCCCCCGGGGGTCTCTCTCTATCTGACTGTGCTGCGTCACTTGGCTAGCTGGTAAATTGAAGGTAAGGCTTACTATAATTTTTATTGTGGGTCCCTCAATTTTACCTGAATGTTCAATTTGATCCATTAATTTTTCTTTGTCCATATTAGTCACTCAACAACTTCTGTTTATGGCCAAGGTAGGACAAGTTGATGGAATTTGTTAGAAACGCTATTTAAAATTGGAAGATCTGTTACCTACATGGCAACAAGATAAGCACGATGCTGAGTCCTTAATATGAGGTAAGCCACGTAGGAAAGAAATAGTAGAAAAAGAAATCGTTCAGATCATTAGCTACTGTAACTGTTGGAGAGAAGAACTAGTGGGTCGCCCTGTTCTCAGCACCCAATGTTGAGGGGTTGGTGTTGACTCCTGCTTCGACGTCAGCTATTTTCTTCACGTGGGGACTGGGCGACCCACTTATTCTAATGATCAAGACAGTCGAGGGATCTCAGCAGCTTTCTTTTTTCTTTTCTCCTTTTTATTTTTGTGGTTTACATGGTACAAAGTAGGAGCGCTCAAATTCAAACTTTTTTAGAAATTAAACTAAATCTATCTTATCATATGATTTGATTTTAAGCTATAATTTATAATTTATAAAAAATAAAATAGATTAAATTTAATATTTTTATAAAATATTTTAATAATTTTATCTAAATATCAACTATTAAATTTTTTTAATCTGTTTAATTTAATAAATTTATTATTTATTAACTACTTATAATAATAATATATTTTACCGTTAATATATTTAAATAGTATAATATACTTTGAATCATATTAATAAATATCACCATTTTAGAAAAGAAAAATAATTAACTATAAAAGAAGTATAAATATTAAAAATAGTAAAAGAAAAAAATGTGTAGTGAAATAATAGGGAAAACCTATAAAATGAATACATGATTTTTTTTTATATGTATAATTTATATAGTTTAATTCAAGTTTATATGATTTATTTAGATATCAAATATCAAATTAAATTATATAAAAAAAATCATTTACAAACTCAACTAAAACAAATCAAACTATAATTTAATCGATCTAAATGGTTTGGTTTGGTTCTGATGAACACCTCTAGTAGAAAGAGCTCAACATTGTAAGTCTGATTATGAGAGCAACTGCTTCTAAAAAAATATTGAAAAATATTGATAATTAAAAAATTTTGAAAGTGTAAAAGTTAGATATATTTGCAAATTTTGTTAAAAATATGTGATAAAATAGTTGTGATAATTGTTTATTATTTTAAAATTCCGTTTCTTTAATAAGTGATATATGTAGCCATTTTAGATATGATTTTGATGTTATTAAGATAAAAAATAAAAATTTATTAATAATATATATAGTTATTAATAATATATATTAATAATTTATACAGTTATCTTTATATAAGTTAATAATAATATTAAAAAGCATAATTTATTTACATTTTTCTTTCCAATATAATTTGCTCCCAATCTAAAAATATGATTTTACTTATTACCTAAGATCTAATTTAATTTTTTATTTAATCAAAATAAATAAAATGTGCAATACGTTTAGGGTTTTTGTGTTCTCAATTGGTGAATGATAAGATTGAAATTCAATTAAAATCCTGGAAGTGTGTTTGTCCAACAATATTTTAAATTTTTTACATATATGCCATTTGTTACGAGAAGTACTTCTAATTGCTATTTTTTACTAAAATTTAGAGAAAAAATAATTTAAAAGCAAATAATCTAAATAGATAAAAAAAAATTTTTTTTTCAATTTAAAATTGAAAATTGTTGAAAAATAACCCTCTTGAATAAGTAATATGTCCATGTTACTATCATTCTGGTAGTGAAATAATTAGAATATAT